TAATAGACCTACTTGCCCATGACTTAAAAACAAATCAAATTGGAACTGTCCTTTTTCTACTGTATTGCAGAAAAGAGCTGGTCCATTTTTCGTTTATGGCATTATGACCATCTGAAATAAATGTAGCAGAACCCAGAGATCAATAATTTAATATGGCTCTCCACAGGCTGTTCCCCTTATTATGTTCTCAACCTCTGATCACTACAGAACTTCTACTACAATGGCCTACTTTATAGTATACATTGAATGAAGGCATGGAATTGGTGGAAAAACCAGAGGCTTGGAGACAACACATTCTGAGCATGCAAAAGATACCAGGCTCACTGTGTGACATCTGGAAAAAGGGACGAAAAAGAGTTGCATGGCTTGATTCATATAAGTCTGATACACAACAAAAGGAACCTTTATTAATTATTTTTAGGAGAAAAAGTTTACTAATATAAAGGGCTAAATGTTGAAGAGAGCATAAGGGAGCGAAAGCCCTGTATATAGACTTGTTTTCAATATTTGAAATCTACAGATCAGATTGTAGAAAGTGCTTCTGCTTAAAACTTTAGAATTGTTTCCCCAATAGTACGTTAGAAGAATGTAAACCAGTGGTTCTCAACCTTTTAAATGCCGCGACCCCCAACCAGTCGTAAGTCAAGGACTACTCAACCAGTTGTAAGTCGAGGACTACTCAACTGGTGCAGCACCGTTTGCAGAATGGGACTTTTGGCGGGCTCAGCAGGGCAGAGACAGCCTGGACAATTCCTATTGGCTTTTGAAAGCCAATAGAATAAAACGGAGTAGCACAGCTAAGGAAAGGGGGAAAAAAATGGCGGACTGTGTTGTTTGGCGACCCCCGTGAAATGGTCGTTCGACCCCAAATGGGGTCCCGACCCACAGGTTGAGAACTACTGGTGTAAACAGTGCATTCTCCTTAAGTGTAACAAAACCTACTTAAAAGCTTTGTAGAAATCCTGAGTATAAAGCGTTACAATGTTAGATATACATACAGGCTGTTTCTAATTATGATAATGTCTTCTTTTCTCTCCCTGAACCCTTGGCATCAAATAAACTAAAATTGGTAGTCCTCAGTGACCTTTCAGCACATGGACACAGGGTGAAAAAAAGCAATAATTGTTTAGAAACACCGTTTCTTTCCCAGGTTCTGGTCTGGTGGGATTGTTACATTGGTGACTGAGGCTCTGAGAGCTTAGCTGAGTGCTTTGTCACTGCTATGACCTTACAGTAGCTTCCTTATCTACAGTAGTTTAACTTCCACTTCCACTGTTGATCAACTTTAATGTGGATGTGACGAGCACAGTCATTCATGTCAGGAAGACGGCAAGTCAGAATTATTCACTGAGATACCAAAGACTTCCAACCTTTACACAAGCTGGGAACTAAGTTGGACTAAATGAAATTAAGCAGCCTATGGTAATTCAGCAAACATGTTATGCAAGTAGGATCCATAATTGGTACCAGCAGCTCTGTCATTAAGTGAGGTTGTTAAGTGGGAAATCATATGATCAGAAATGTGTTTTCCTTTTCCTCACTCCCCCCTAGATAGCTGGCTAAAAGCTGACAGCACTCATCAGCTTCACACTTCCACTGTTTGCCTCCTAATCAGTTACACAACTTTTGGAATGCTTACCCAAGTGTTTGGATATTTAGCAAGAAGCAACTTAAAGTTTGTATTGTATTTGTAGTGGCCAAAATTGTGGAAACCTTTGGGGAAAAGTGTATTTTTGAGGTTTGATGTCTAATAACACAACTTTTTTTGAGTAGTACCATAAAATTATATATAATGGAAAGATAATTTAATCAAGAATGTAATGCAACATAGTTTGTTCAATTATCTGTACTGTATTCTATGAAAAATTATAGCCAAGTAACCAGAAAAAGGAAATACAAGTTGCTTAGGTTGATATCAGGTAGTTTTCCTTCATCTAATTGTAGCCAATGAGCATGAGTGTTTAGAGAGCCAATCAGGTGTCATCTTGTTTTGGCAATGAGCAATCAGATCTCAGTAGGATTCAGTTATTGATGTCATGTATTGAAGCTGAGAGCAGGACATTTGTCAGTGTGTTTTGTGATTGCTATCAAGTTGGTTGGTTTTTTCTTTCTTTCTTTCGTTTAGTGAGTTTGTAAAACGTAATAAAATTAAAGTAATGGTGCACAGAGTTGACTGGTTGCCCAGAAAGTGATGTAAAATAGTATTATTAAGTGAACAAGGCTACAGTTATAAAGAAATTAGAAGAAAAATTGGTGGAAACTTAACCAAAGGTGGCATTTCTACTGGAGTTTTCCCAAAAGGTTTCCACAATTTTGGCCACTACTGTACACACACATAGAAAGCAACACGATGGCACTGGAAACAGTGGGCATACTATGCAAACTGGCTGGTGTATTCTCCATTGTCTTACTCTCTTTTAAAATTTTTCTCTCCAAGCCCTTTACTCTGTGGAGTGTCAGAAGTAGATGTACCAGGCACAGGAGCCTACAGCAATTACTTGTTTTTTTTCCCTTACCCCCCCCCCCCAAGGCGAAGAGATTGTAGTTGAAGGATTACAAGAAAGTAAGCAGGTATACAATGGGGAATACACTGAGGTGTTTGCATTGTGTGCTTGTGGCTGCTGGTGCATTGCATTTAAAGCTATTCCCCATGCTTGTTTACTGTCTTGTAATCCCTTCTTCTCTCATCTATCAGCTCTGCAGGGGGGTAGGAAATGTAGCAGGCCAGGTACAGGAAAATGAGTTCTGACTTTAATGGCAATTACATGACTAAAGGACAAAACCATTAACTTTGAATGGTCACTGAACAAGGTAGTTGATAAATGAAGATACTTATACTGAATTTGGATTTTCCAAATCTTAACGCATTACTCTAACCCAGGAGTGTCAAACTGCTGGCCCACAGGCCGGTTTCATCATACTGGAGCCGCGCCCACCCCACTGCTGGCAACGGCGAAAAAGCTCCGATACATTGCGCGACGTCACATGACGTCACGAGTTTGACATGTCTGCTCTAACCCCATTGGTTATTCTGGTGTTCTAAACTAAATGCCCATGAAAAATTAATATAAACCAGAAACCAATAAAAAGAGTTACATTTTAAAACATTACTTGAGAGTTAGAAGCCCATTGAAATGTGGCATTCATTGTATTAAAGATCAGAACTACCCCTGACAAATGGAATATACATGTAATCCTCTGTGTACCTGCACACCACACAAAAGAAACCAGGATATTTGCAAAGCAGATAGAAAACCTAGTTCAGTCTCCTCATGATGAATTTCCTCATATTAAATAACTGCCATTTATTTAGTGACTGGTTTATTACAATAGATTTAGATCCTGTCTTTTCTTCGGGAGCTTAAAGCAGGGTCAATGGCTTTCTCTTTATCAATGTTTCCCACAACTATGAAATAGGCTGCATGGGGAGAGAGAACTTTAATTCTACCACCATAATAATTATTCCATGCTGGCTATTTCATTTTCGCATTGGCTTCTTTCTTTCTGTCTTTTACTGAGAGGAAAAAGGAGAAGCATATCCTGTAATATTTGTTGGGACTCCTTCCCCCAGCCTCCCTGCAAATTAGACTCTTCTGTTCTTCACTTTCCTGAATATGTATTCCATTTCTGCCTTATGCAATTTATATGAGTATGCATCTTTGAGTCATTTTGGACTCCTGGTCACAGCCTGGAGTAGTCCTGGCAATTTTCTTGGCAAGATTTTGGAAGTGGTTTGCCACTGCCTCCTTCCTAGGGCTGAAAGTGTGACTGACTGATCCAAGGGAATCCAGTGGCTACATAGCTAAGGCAGGACTAGAGTCAGTCTCCCAGTTTTAAGCTTGATGCCTTAATGTATAAACCAAACCAATTCTCTGCACAATTTACAGTAGAGTAAATATCCAAGTATGATCCTTGAATAAAGGTTCAAATTTTTCTCTGTTTTCGTCCTTGTGGGGCTGACAATGAACATTTTAACTGACAATTTAATACTTTAATACTAACAATCATGCAATTTAAAAGTTTAATTAAAAGAGCAATTTTTAATATGCAAGAAATGCAAAATTATCTAATGTAAAACAATGAAATAATGATTAATAAAATACACGCAATCCTTATATTCAACTCATTCCCTGTTCCTTTGAGCAAAATTCAGCTCTTCTTTTATTACTTTATATCTATTTATAATTGTCAGATACTTAGAGGATTAACTCTTTTGTCCAGACAACCCAATGTTGTGCTTGATCAAATGCAAAATGCACTATAACACGTCTGCAGGGCAAACAAAATACGTTTTCAAAACTCGTCTATCTTTGCTTAATGAAGAACATTCCACATAATTTGGTTTATCAAAAATACAGGAAGTGAGATGGAAGCATATTTAAAAAAATTATACATTTTCCCAATATAACTTACCATTTCCTAAGAGTTGTGAAGATTTTGTGTTCCTGTATTATACTATTGGATGAAGGCAAAGAATATCACTCCAGCATCATGATAAGATAGGTATTATTTTATTAGATTGATAACAGATTGCAAGCTGACCAGACGCTGCCTATGCCTTTCATGCATTTTGAGCAGCATCAGGAATCTTAACCACTTCACAGTTACCATCCTGTCTATTCCCATAAATTTAAGAGAACTTTTATCCCAAAATACAGAAATATATCTAACAAGGATTCATTAAATTAATGAACACTTTAATTAAATAAATAAAAAAATCTCTTAACTAATATGACAATTAAAAAGGAATCAAACAAATGCACAATGGCGTATCATTTTAAAAAAAATCCTTAATGGTCTATTTATGGAGGGGAAAAATGATAAAAGCTTTATTAAAGGTCAACGAAGTTTGGAGAAAATTTCTAAATCATCACTACAGGGAAGGCCCTAATATAAAAGCTACCATAGATAAAATAAAATATGAGGGATTTATATTTCTCTTTCCTTTTTCTTTCCTATTTCTTTTTCCTTTTTTAAAAGAACAATATAACAAAACAGAATTAAGATTAATATTTTTATTATGTGAACAATCTGATATAAAACATTACAGTACTTCAAATGAAAACAAACCAAGAGACAACAAATATGGGCATTTCAAATAAGGCACATGTAAAAAAAACACACATCCAGTGAAATAGACAAGTTTCTATATATATATATTTATATATATATATATAATATTTATATTTAGAGGTAGAAATAATTACAAAAATATGCAAGCACTTTAACCATTAGCAGTTCTGTTAAAACTAGGGTCCTTATTAAAAACTGCCTTGGTAAAACAGTACAGATGGCATTTTATGCACTACATTTTTATGGCATCTGTATATTTTAATTTGAGTACTGGTAGTGAGAAAAATGCTATTCCATGACCAATACAACAAGATTTTTTAAAAAAGTTATAAATGTTCATACAAATGTATTTAATAACAAAAAATTATTGAAGCACCACATTTTTCCCTCAGAAAAAAAACCTGCATTATTTTTCTTTATGTTAGCATTAGAGACCTAATGATGTTTTTAATAGTGTTGCTATATCTGCTGGAATGGCTCCTTCTTCTCCTGTAGAATTAAAGGAATATGTCAGATTTTCATGTGCAAAGAACATTTCATTCAAGTTAATTCATTACAACCAATGCAACTAAAATATCATTTCTGCAATCTTGCTAACTGAACACAAGAATATTATTGCAATGGAACACTGTAATTTTTAAAACAACGGAATGCAAAATTTGCTTGGTCATTTATTTGCAAATCACTGGTGCAATTTAATCTGTTTTCCAACTTACTCTCGGGGTTTGCATATAGTTTATTATTGTGATTAATCTTGTTGATATGTCTGACTTAGCTGTAATCCAATATGGTAGCTGGCATAAGTTACAATAATCAGGAACTCAAGTGTTTGAGCAAGCCAACAAGGCCAAAATACTACTCTAAAAGTTACTTTGGCCACATCAAGTATTTATGTGTAGCCAATGCTAAATTTTACTTTTATGTATACTTTTGCATCCTGTTGTACAAATTGCTTTTCAATAGTAGACAGCATGACAAAGAGATCTATGAAAAAGAAATACTAACTTGGATCATAAAACGTTTGTACCATTATTTATATTAAAAATAAACAGATAAAAGTAAAACTACAAAAGCAACGATAGACAACATGCTTATTATTTCCATATTCCTTTTTATTTTCTATAAAAACAGATTTGATGACATGATTAATATTTCCACATTTCTTTGGTTTTATAAATACATTTTTTTCTATCTCATACACTTGTGCACCCTATCTTTTTAGCATACTAAAAGTATTCTACAAGGACTCACCTGTATCTGTTGCTGTCATATCTTGCTCTAATTTTAACTTCTGCTGACTGATTTTGAGCATGGATTCTTCTATGGTCCCTTTACTTATAAGCCTAATAACCTGCACTTCTCTAAAAAAAAAATAAAACCAAACCACATCAAATATTTATTCATATATTTATGCAAAACAATATTTATAGTTTATTACAAGTATATTATTTCCTATCTGGCATAATTTTATAGAAAATGAAGCTTGTTTATTTTGGAGCAATGAATGAGTGACTAATCTTACTCATGCAAAGACAAACATATAAAGTGATAGCAACTATGTATTAGAACTGTGATGCATAAATGTAACATATATGCAATTACACGTCATAGACATATATCATACATGCAGTGTCAGACAAAAATTGCAAAACAACTTTAATATTGGGAATTCCTATATTCATATATGAATCACTAAAAACATTTTACCAAAAAAATGAGTTATTTTAAGCAGTGATCTAAAGCCTCCTTTGTATCTGTTCTTGTGTTGCTGCTATCTCCATAATTTCAATGAAGTGAAACTATGGTTTGGTCTCAAAAGTAAAGGAATAACAACAAACAAGATTGGTTGACACTAGAAACATAAAATCAATTTTAACATGTAAGTGGGATAAGTATCGCTAAGCAACAGGGTGAAGATGGATGTATGGACAGATAATTCTTATAATTGTCTGAGACTCTAAAAAGTCTTATTTAGGCTTAAAAAAGAACAAATGAACCAGTCTAAAGTTTTATCTCTAACCAAGGTATTCAAACCAGTACACCAAATTAATCATAATAAAACCAGCACTTTATAAAATTGGGAAAGATTTTTTTTATCAATCCATACCTCGTCTGTCCAACTCTGTGGCATCTGTCTTCTGCCTGTTTGTCATTGTAAGGATTGCAGTCAATATCATGGAGAATGACCACGTTGGCTGAAGTCAAATTAATCCCAAGTCCCCCAGCTTTAGTTGAAAGCAAGAAAATAAATATATCCATATCTGAATTGAATTCATCTATCAAATGTATCCTATCAAAAAAGAAAGAAAAAACAATGCATTCATTAGCACACAAAGTTTTTTTTAAAAAATGAATCCCCTATTGCTTGGTCATATTATAAAAGCTGGCATACATACACATTCATTTGTTGAGCATAGCATTGAAGCATGTATAAAGGAAATCTCATAGAGCAGATAGGTTCTTACCTATCAGAGATCTGTGTCTTTCCATCCAGTCTAAGATAGCGATGTTGCTCATGTTTCAAGAGAACTTCCAAGATGTCCAGCATCATGGTAAATTGGCTAAACAAGACAACTCTGTCACCCTAATGGACAAAGCAATATGTTAATTTATAAGCTACTTACATCAGAAAGCCAAGTACACAAATATTAAAGCTGCTTTAGGCTACATAGGCTGAATTTAAAACTAAGCAATGCATTTGAAAGCCAGGATTCAAATATTTAACATGCTTATTAAATGGAGAGCCAAACTAGTCTATTGTTTTCAAGGGACAGAACAGCCAATGTGATTGCTTCACTTGATCATGAAATGGACAGCATATCTGTCTTTGACAGCTGTAATTTATGTATAAGCAATGGCTAATAAGAATTACTAGAGAATTGTAAATTAGGACATAAGCAAAACTCTATGGGATGCAACAATACACTGCAAATAAAACACAGGAAGAGTCTAATACACAGGTGTCAAACTCGCTACATCACGTGACGTGTCGCAATGGTATCACGACTTTTTCCCCATTGCCAACAATGGGGTGGGCGCGGTTTTGACGTGGCACATCTGACCCGCGGGCCGGCAGTTTGACATCCCTGGTGTAATACTTTAGGAACAGGTTAGTTTACTCTAGTTTAAATAGCAGAAAAATATGATCTGAATATAAACTTAAATGTATAGATATTTTCTGAAGATGATTTTATGTTTCAATCTTGGAACACTCAGTAGCAAATTGCTACAAAAGGTATTTCCACTTTTGTTACATATGCAGGCTTGTCTTTTCTTCAGAAGAATACATCTACTTTGTCTTTAAAACTTACGAGTTTGATCTAAGACATTTCCCATCGTGTTATTTGGTAAAGAGGTCAGAAAGTTATTAGTTTAAAACTAATAAATTTATTAGTTATAAATTCTCAAACATTACACATTCTGTTATCATACAGAAACTAAGAATCAATCCAGCCTGGGATTGACATTGCTTTGAGGGACAACTCATTAGGTAAACAAAATTAAAATGTTTACTACAGGAATAAAAACACTTAATGTCAACTTTCAATAGATTCTTTCCCAGTAAAGTAAGTTAGTAGAATTTTCTGAAATTAGACTGCCTTCATCTCCACTTTTGAAATATACACTGCACAGCTTCAAAAAGAATCCAGTTGGTTTAAGACAGAGGCCCCCAACCTTTTGGGCACCAGGGATCGGTTCTGTGGAGAGAGGTTTTTCTGCGACCTGGAGGGGGCGTGGTTTTGTGTGTTGCCTGCATCTCGCGAATGGGGCTTTGCTTGTTTTTACGGATCAGTTGCTGGCATGCTGCGGCCTGGTACCAGTCCACGGACCAGGGGTTGGGGAACCCCGGTTTAAGGGTTAGGGTTACCAAAAGCAATACTTAAGTATTGTCCAAAAAGGTTCTCAAAGATTAGAAAATTAGATTTCTTAGCTCTGAACCTCACTACCTTTGGCCATTAGTTCTATAACCAACAATTAGCTGTCACCAATCTCCCTCTCATCTCTCATCTAGTTAAGGCAGCTGTAACAGGCCTATTTTGTTACATTATAAAGTGCATAATAAAACTCATTTAGGCATTAACTGCATTTCCTCCTTTCCCCCAATACACTATTTTTCACACAAACATTTGAGGAACCTACCTGATGAAGAGTCCCTATGCACATGTTACACTAGCCATGGGTAAATTGTGAGCAGGCATGAATTTTAGCCATGGTTAATGACAAACCTAGATAAAGGGTATTGAGAGGGCTGATGAGTTCATAATCCTACAAGCAAGTGCTGACCTTTAGCCCTAGCTAATATTGTATTTTGTTTTCAAAGAACCTTCAAAGATGAGAAATTTGAAGAGAGCTTCCCACATTTTAATTAATATGCCTATTGTTCTCTAAAATGTGTTTCTTGTCAGTATAGTTTACAGCTGAAAACAGCTCATTTATTTGTAAAGGATAGTATATCAAAAGGTATTGGTATGTAGGGCGCACCTTTTCTTTAAAATCCGATAAAATACGTATAAGTGTCCTAAATTTTCCAGAATCCAAAATTAGATCCATTTCAAGCTTGAAGTCATGAATATTTGCATACTGTTTGCAAAGCAAATGCAGTTCATAATCAGTCATCACACACATATCTTCAAAAATAAGGTCGGGGTTTGCTTCACAGTGTGTAGGCTCCTAAAACAACAATAATTTTTAGTTATTTGCAAATGAATAATTTTAAAATGCAATACACATCTACTGTCCTGTAATTAATTTTATCCCACAGTCCCATTTTTTTAGACGAGCTCTCTGAGCTTGTTTGTTTTCTTGCAGACGTTTCATTATCCAAACTACAGTAGCACTGATGATGATATCTAGTTGGGGTAATGAAACATCTGCAAAAAAACAAGCAAGCTGAGAGTGCACCAAGGACCCCTCATATCAACCCTGAGCAACAAATATTCTTTTTAGAAGATTATTGGTATACTGTAATCTGAAATATGAAGTAACATGATTCACTTTTCCATGATTACTTCTCAGATCTGGCTTTTATTAACACTTTTTTAAAAAAATTGTCAACTATATTTCAGGGAGAATTTCATTGAGATTACTGATGAGACGTGAATAGTTGAGACAGCTTTCTGTTATACTATGGTGTAACATGAACATAAACATCTCAGTTCAACTTCAAGCCATACTGTGAAAGTACTATGTGTGGCGAATGCATCCTTGAAAAACAAGTCATAGTTATTCTATAGTACAGTCATCAATATTCATCTGTGAATCTCTGCCATGGCCTGGCCAAGTGATACTATGGAGGCTTTGCTTTAGTACCTGGATGCAGTTGGAGTCTGGATAGGGATAAACTGATTTCAGCTCATCATTACCAAGATAGAGTAGCTTTGAGTGTTAGGGCCTCCTGGATCTGGTGATTTTCTACCCTAATATTAGATTATATTCCCCTACCCTGGACAGAATGGGTGTGCAATTTGAGATCCCCCTGCAGTCATGACTTCTGTTTGAAGAGCAGATAGCAGTTGTGAAGGGGGTAGGGAGAGGGGCTTTGCTCTGCTTTATGCTGTGTATCAACTAAGCCCCTTCCTGGATCAGGAAGCAACATGCTTGATTTACTCATGCTTTGATCACTTTCCAAGTAGATTACTGTAATGTGCTCTATATGGTACAGTTTTCGAACAACATTTAAAGTTCAATTGGTCCTAAATGCAGCAATGCAAACAATTATGGATGTGTGTTACTTTGCCCATGTTCTATCTATCTATCTATCTATCTATCTATCTATCTATCTATCTATCTATCTATCTATCTATCTATCTATCTATCTATCTATCTATCTATCTACTGCATTTGCTTTGCAAACACTATATATATATACCACACACATACCATCCTACTGTCTGGGGCAAATGCACCTTATGACAAAACCAAATGCATCTATTTCTTACCTTGAGCATGAGTTTTGACATGACTTTAAGTTTTTCAGAGGTATAATACTGGCGGTGTAGGAGAGGATGATTAGCCATTTTTCTGAGTTGCATCATGACATTACCCATTTCAGAATTTTTTTCTATGAACAGACACAGGTATTAATGTTAATTAAAAAGTCTTTTTTTACAGATATAACTAAAAAAAATAGTAGAGCTCGGTGTTTTTGTTCCTCATACAAAAGAAAAATTACCGAGAATTATTTATATGCATTCATACCTTGACCATCCATAGATTTCTTAAGGCAGCTAAAAAGATCTTGGTATAGTTGTTCCTGTTTCTCAGTCATTTCACACCACTCAACAATTTCTTTTTTGGGAGGTAGTTGCTGCAGCACCTGACAGACCAAGACCAAAATTCTATGTATTAGGAGAACAAACTTACATGTAGATCCACAGATATAAATCTGGAAGCTACTGTATACTTAGTTATGGTAATCTGATATGAAATAATTATTTTTCATTGCAGAGTAAAGACATACCTCTTCTTTTACTCTTCTCAAGATGAATGGTTTTATTATCTGCTTTGCATGTGCAATTCTCTCCTTTTCATATACACTATGCTCCTCAGATGCTTTCTAATAAAAAATCAAAAACATAAAGAGCATTTCATACTCTCAGCCAAAGCAAGTTAATGTGTCCTGTTTTAGTTTAGTTTAATACAATGTTTGAATCCATTCATTTTTATTAAACAAGCCACTGTTATACGACAGTAAGTGCATGTCCAGTTACATTGTGGTTATGACAATTACTAAAATGATTACTATTGTACAGAACAGTATCTACAGTTGCAAATTTGAAGATTGCATGAGTTTTCTGAACTATGTTTTAAAATTACCTTTAAATTTACAGTGCAAAATTAACAATAATCATATAATTTTTATCTTCATTTCATAACAATAAAAACACATACAAAATACACCTACTGCTTTAGAAGAAAATATCCTCCGAATTTCACTGGTGCTACTACTGAACATGTGTGGCATTACAAAATTCAATAGGGACATAAGTTCTAAAAGATTATTTTGAACAGGAGTCCCAGTTAGCAGAAAACGATTTTTTGCCTGTTTTGATAAAAATAAATAAGCAGTGATTAGAAAATGAAACATTAAATCACCATTTTGCTAAAACATTGTATTATGAGTTTCATCTCACTGTTGAGAAATGCAATATTGTCATAGTTACACATTTAAAACTAGCCTACAATATTTAAAACCAGGAAGTTGCAAGTAACAGCCTTAAATTCCACCGAAGTGAAACAATACAGTGAAAACCGTAACTGTTTTTGTCATCTGACAGGTAATAGCTGCCACACTTTGCTATGCAGTTAATCACAACAGTATGCATGCATGAGTGTCTGTTTAAAAAATTAATAAAGCTACCGCACTCATAATTTGTAATCTGCAATGCATACAATAAAAAGGTGTAAAAACAAACCCCAAGAAAATCAAAACCATAATCAATACGTAAGAGAGGCTGGTGTTAAAACATACAGACACAGTATTGGAAGGGCTTATTCCAAAGGGCAGATACAGCAACAGAGAAGTCATGGCTCTTAGATCACATTAGGTGGCATTGTTTCAAAAACGGTTTTTTCTACTCTATGCAATCTTGTGGGACAGGAAGAGATAAGAAGAGATGGTTGTGCAAGACAGACAAGTCCTATGCCACGTATGACTTTATATAGTTTCTATATTTAGACCTAAGACTTATTGTATATTTATAGAACTCACTTAGATAACTGTTTACAGGATTGCAATTTAATGCTGTAAAATGAGAAACAGACTATTTATGAAAATATTTTATTTATGATGTAACATTTAGTGAACCTTGAACATGTAAACCATAACTGAGAAAAAAAATCAAGAGTAAAGAAAGAGTAAAGAAACAATCAGTGCCTTACATTAATTGTCATCAGATGCTGATAGCGTACAGAACCCATATTTTTTAGCATATGGCCTTCATCAAAAATTGCATAATTAAGTTTCATCTTGCGAAACAGATTACGATCTTCTGGACTACTAATTGCACAGTTATACCTATCAAGAGAACAAACTATGAACATATTTTGCTTTACAAACATGCATTAATTTATTGATTGATTGATTTATATATATATATAAATATAAAGACTCTCTGTCTTCCCCCTCCCTCCCCCTCCTTCCAGATCGCCTCAGCGCTTCTGTCCCTGGCTTAGGGCCATTTGATCCATCAACTCGGTCCATGTGAGTCATGGTCGTCCCATCTATAGAGCCATATAGAGGGAGAGGGAGGGGGAAGACAGAGAGCAGGAATGCCGGAACAGCTGCTTGTTGCAGGATTGGGGCGGAGGAATTATGACAACGGCCTTGGGGGTGGGGGAGGATAATGGCCCTGGGAGGGAGGGGGACTGGGCGCAGGGAAGGGTTGACAGCCGCCCTCCAAGTGCTTGCACATGCTCAAAAAGAGACTTGAGGATCGTAAAACAACCAGTGGAGTCCAAGACAGTTTGCCTGATGCGGAACAACTGTGTAATACGGATTAACACAATCAACGGGCCGATGACGCGCTCAAGGAGCTGGGTGCAGAGGCAGGAGGCTATATGAACTTCCTTCCCGATCTCCTGCTATTCTAACTCTGATGACGCTGGCAGTTTTTTGGCCGGACGAAAGCTTAGTAACTCTTCTTAACTTTTAAACAGGCCGGTTTATTATATCCTGGTGTTCGTTTTTTCTTTTATTTGTTAGCATAATGCCCAGGATTCGCATTTTTAGTATTTTAAAAGACACACACACACACACACACACACACACACACACACACACACACAAATATATATTCTAGCACTCATTAAGTCAGTTCTGATAGTATAATAATGCACGTTTCTTGTTTAACTCTGGCAAGAGTTTTAAGAACCATTACCTGAAAAAACAAAATTTCTAGGAGTATTTGAACTGTAGCAGTTGTTACAGTTTCAATATTATATTTGCCTTTGGTTGAATTTTGTATGCAACACTGTGGCACAATATGCACAACTATTTTTCCATTACAGGTAGTCCTTGCTTAGCGACTGCTTTGAACAGCAACTGTTTGACTTACAATGATGATGACATAGTAACTTTGTGACCAATGCTTGCATTTATGATCTTCCCAATGTGTCTCTCAATCATATCTTTGTCATTAGTCAGCTAGTATGTATTATCTTGTGAAAAATCATAAGCTCAGACATGGTCATATGATTTTTCACTTAGCGAAAACGTTGCTTAATGACTGAGTTGCTGATCCCATTTGGGTCACTAAATAACTATACCTATAGTATACAGTACTGGCCAAAATAATGGAAACCTTTTGGGAAAAGTGTATTTTTGAGGTTTGATGACTAATAACACCACTTTTTTTTGGAGTAGTACCATAAAATTATATATCAATGGAAAGATAATTTAATCAAGAATGTAATGCAACAAAGTTTGTTCAATTATCTGTACTGTATTCTATGAAAAGTTATAGCCAAATAACCAGAAAAAGGAAGCACAACTTGCTTAAGTTGATATCACATAGCTTTCCTTCATCTGATTGTAGCCAATGAGCATGAGTGTCTAGAGAGCCAATCAGGTGTCAACTTGTTTTGGCAATGAGGCAATCAGATCACAGTAGATTCAGTTATTGATGTCATGTATTGAAGCTGAGAGGAGGACATTTGTCAGTGTGTTATGTGATCACTATCAAGTTGTTTGGGTTTTTTTTTCTTCTTTCATTTAGTGAGCTTGTAAAACATAATAAAATTAAAGTAATGGTGCAAAGAGTTGACTGGTTGCCCAGAAAGCGATGTAAAATAGTATTATTAAGTGAACAAGGCTATAGTTATAAAGAAACTGGAGGAAAATTGGTGGAAACTTAACCAAAGGTGTACATTTTTCCCAAAAGGTTTCCACAATTTTAGCCACTACTGTATTCAATATACAGAACAAAATCTCTTGGGGAAGTATAACCAGTAATGAATCTTGGATTATGCTATATCTATTACATTTGGTGTACTTACAAGAATATATTCATTTATAACTATGAGAAACTTGTGACTTATAGAGACATTTTGAATACTGAAGGGAAACTACAAAATAAACAAGAACTGGAACAGGGTATTGAGCTATCATGGTGGCCACATCTGCAAATGCAAATGAGATACGAGAAAGATGCCAAAACATATGGTTTTTATAAAGATCAGACAGTGTTTGACCAGATACTATTGTCATCAGATGAAAAATTGATTAAGAAACTGTATTGTTAAACTTAAAGATGGAAGATGAACAAGTCAAAGAAACAATGATAACATGGGGAAAAAAAACTTTGGGCACAATGTAGAGTTAGAAAAATTATATAAAATTTTTTATAGATGGCATTTACCACCTGCAAGGTCAACAAAAATGTTTAAAAACATGTCTAGCAATTGTTGGAAATGTAGGCAAAAGCCAGGCATGTACGACCATCTTTGGTGGACATGTCCTAAAGCAGTGGTTCTCAACCTTTTTAATGCCGCGACCCCCAACCAGTCGTAAGTCGAGGACTACTCAACCGGTTGTAAGTCGAGGACTACTCAACTGGTGCAGCACCGTTTGCAGAATGGGACTTTTGGCGGGCTCAGCAGGGCAGAGACAGCCTGGACAATTCCTATTGGCTTTTGAAAGCCAATAGAATTAGACTCTATTCAAGAGAGTCTATTCTATTGGCTTTCAAAAGCCAATAGAATAAAAGGGAGTAGCACAGCTAAGGAAAAGGGGGAAAAAATGGCGGACTGCGTTGTTTGGCAACCCCCGTGAAATGGTCGTTCAACCCCAAATGGGGTCCCGACCCACAGGTTGAGAACCACTGCCCTAAAGCAAAAAAAATTCTGGTCAAAAATAATATGTGGTTAGAGAAAATGTTAAGAAAACATGTACATTTTAAGCCGGAACTATTTCTTTTAGGTATAACCACAGAAAACTATGATAAAAAATGTGTGTATTTAATATTACATGTACTAACAGCAGCGAGAATTACATTTGTACAGCATTGGAAAAATGAAGAAACACCAGCTGAAGAAGACATAATTAAGAAAATTCTGGACTGTGCGGAAATGGACAGGCTTATATTGAAAATGAAAGGGAAAGAAGATACAGAATACTTTCAAACATGGGATACTTTTTACAAATGGCTAGAAAAACGGAGTAGAGAGTAAGAACGGAAGATGTATTATTAAGTTAAATATGTGGACCCAGACAACACGTTGTTTACTAAGCACTAAAGATTTATAATTATAAAAAAATAAAATGTTTTTTTTTTAAAAAAAGAATATATTTATTTATAACTCGCAACAATCAATGGGAGTAATACCATTTATCGGAAAATTTGTGCAAATCAACTCTGGATTTTACAAAATGTTTGAAATATTACTGTATGTGAAGTTATACATCTATTTTTCAAATTATTACATTACATAAAAGTGTCACGCTCAAGTGAAACACTTGAAAAGAAGTACTTTGTTAGATAACTACATTTTTTATGGATTTCTACTTACGTTGTCACAATCACATTGAAATCTGTTACTTTATTATGGATATCCATTCTGAAATGCCTCCTGTCTTCTTGAGACCCTAGATAAAAATGCAATGTGAGTTAGACTTTTCAGTAATTCCAGGTAATTTATTAAATCATTCTTATGAATTTGATTGCAATTCACAAGTTCAGTTGCTTCATTGTGTCATGAAAACATATAACTGTACTTTAGCTATACATGTTTTACTTTGAAACACAATTTCTTACCATAATAAAATAAAATCTGGAGTTCAGGACACCATAGGTTAATTTCTCTTATCCAGTTATCTATTGTTAAAAAAATACATGAAATTGTTAAAGAAGTATTTTATTAGTCTACTCACATGTGTAGTTTAATATTTAAATTTCTTAGGCTTTTTTCCCAACACAAGAGTCCAAGATTTTACCTACCTATTGTTGATGCTGGCACAACGATCAAATGTGGACCTACATCACCCAGTTGATAAAGATATGCCAGAAAAGCAATTGCTTGAATGGTTTTTCCTAAACCCTAGATAAAAAGTAATTTAAAATAGAATTATTGTTATAGCTATTGTTAAATCTAAAATATTTAGTAAAATATTTAATATTTAGAAGTAAATGACAAACTTTTTAAAGCATCACACATATTTCCTTCTTCAAATAATTTGTAACATCCCTAATCTATACAGTACAACTGGTAATTTTTTTCTTCATTCTTCATTCATGCAATATCTTGACTTATAAGAAAGACTCAGGTCCTTCTTGGCAATTGCTGCTTCTTTGTCCATAAAACTCAGTCTCATGCTTCTTTAGTTTTTGATATTTTGCAGTCTCATATATTGATTCTATTTGCATCACCTTTCTGAAGTTGAAGACGATCAATTTACTCTTTTCCAAAACTCATCTGGAATGCCCCAGTCAACACACTCACAGTATGATTTAGTCCCAGGTCTTCATGCTAACCCATTCATATGTCACTTTCTGTCTTGCATAGAAGCATAAGATTGTATTAACTAGTGTAATGCAATGGTTAAGGAGTTAGATTAAGGCTGGAAAAGACCCATGTTTAAGTCCTTTCTCATCCATGGAAATTCATTGGTGACTTTGGATCAGCTACATATATTATAAATTATTTCAGTATGAATAAAAACTACAATGTTTTCAACTTACCATTTCATCAGCTAAAATCCCATTCAATGAATGCTTATGCAAAAGTGCTAGCCAATGTAAACCAATCTTCTGATATGGCTTAAGTTCCATGCTGACAATAGAAAAGAAAGTACACAAATTACTGTTATGTGAATTCAAACCCTCTGACCTACAGTTTACTGAACATGTAGCATAGTGGCTAAAAAATCCTTAACCAAAACTTGCCTTTTGGTTACAATCATGCTGCCCTCAACTGTCCCACTATTATATGGGAAATAATACTAAATTACGTTACAGCTTTGGTATGAATTAGGACAGTGGTGGTGAACCTATGGCACATGTGCCAGAGGTGGCACTCAGAGCCCTCTCTTGGGCACACATGCCGTCACTCCAATCCCGCCTCCCCCCATGGCCCTCTCTTCACCAGCAGCCCCCCCGGAGGAATCACCAAGGACATGGCAGCCGGGCAGCAGGGACAAAACTCCGCCCTCATGCGCGGATGATGCTGCAGGGCCATCTGGGCGATCTGCTGCAGCAGGCCATGGAGGCGGTAGGTGGCCTGCAGGGGGGGCGGGGCAGGCGGGCAGGGGGACGGGTTTTGGGTACTTGGTGTAAAAGGTGTAAAAGGTTTGCCATCACTGAATTACCATAATTATAATAGGTCTTGATGTACAATGTTCACAATGTGCTGTGCCTACAAATAAATCCTTTTAATTTTAATGGAAGATATTTAAACACTGCTGCAATTATCTTAAACTGTGCAAGCGTTGAGTGAGCGCACAAGCGTGTAAAACTCCATTTCTGCAGGTGATGGGTACAAACGTGAAACCATCACTTCTCCTCCACTGCCAATCCACAGAGCCACAAAGGTTGGGGACCGCTGTACTGGAATGTGAGTTTCTCTGCTCTTAATCTAGCACTTTAATCACCATATTATATCACAATCTTTCTTTTCTGTATATGTTGTTGCATTTATTAATAAGCAATCTTGCTAACCTTGGATTCAGGATGGATGGTTGGTCAATGTTCCATCCACCACCTCCATCTCCAGTGATCTTTGTTACTTGTTTGGTCAGTTTATTTGAGATCTCTTCACATTTGTTCATAAGTTTTAAAACAACATCTCTTTCTCTTAGTAGTATTTTGCAATTCCAAATAATATCTTCTGACAAGCCATTGGTCCTACTCATTTTTGTGAACTGCCAGAGAGAGAGAGAAGAAAAAAAATAAGTCACTAGATTTAAATACAAAATCAAAATAAACTACCGCAAATGCCGGCATATAAGGCGACTTCCGCGAGCACTGCAATCGGCGCCAAAGACGGGGGTCGTCTTATACACCGAGTCGTCTTATACGCCGGAAATACTGGTAGTTTCCGGTGTATAAGACGGCATTCTAGGAATGCGGCCCGGCTATAAAGACAGGGGTCGTCTTATACGCCGGGTCGCCTTGTACGCCGGCATTTACGGTAAGCATGGAGAATCCATTAGTTTTATCGTTCAGACTTTTTGGTTATTCTAATTTAATTATTTTTTTCAATAAATTTTCATTTTTTTATTCAAAACATTAAAATACAAACTACAAAAAGGAAAAATTCAAAAACAAATCAAAACTAGACAAAACTTAATTAACTCAATAATTAATTATTAAAATAATTTAATGAATTGTGTTATTCATTAAACATTGGAGTAGCATATGATCAGTTTTCTGGCCTACCCATAGTAACACATATGAAGTAATTAATCTTGTGCATTTTTAGAATGAATTCACTGATCCCATGAATCAAAAACAGTATTTTTCAAATTGTTTTAGCTGTTACATTTGATTGTTACAAAATATAAAAACAGTAAAATCATGTTTCAACAAAAGAGGGCGCTATTAATATGAAGCTGAACATTTGTTAAAATCTATATATTTAATTTTGTTCTTTGGTGTGCTTTTATTTATTAGGCTGGTCCAAACCAAAACTAACAAAGTAATAAAAAATACAAAAATAAAGAGCTACAAAGCATTCATGGGACTTATTTGCGAACTTGGGACTATGTCCATGGTTTACAATGATAAATTACTTTGGCAAAGGTTTGCTATATACAAACCATCATTTCTAAAAGAGAAAGAGCAGCTAAAGTTTGCTTTAAAGTTTTCAAAGCTAAAGTTTTTCACCACCCACCTAGAAAAGATGGAATGTCCTTTTAAAGCCAACATAATCAACCTGGACAATACCTGTCAGAAATCTATCTGCAGTTTTATGATTGCCTCCAGCATTAAGAAACACCCTCCATGCTTGTCTAAACAGGGAAATAACTTGTTATATGCTATAGAATGCAAAGTAAGATTTATTTCCCTAATCCTAAAGCTATAAAGACTTTGTTGAATCCATGATTGTAAATCAGTTTAGAAAAACATATGTTCTCTGTTTCTAAAGAAGGTTATCTCCTTCATAGTGTGCAGGCTAAATAGGTGGACTTTTATTTTTATTTTGGTATTGTACAGATTCATAATAAGAACATAAGTTAAATGCATCTTACAGAAACATCAAGAATTAAAAAGTTCATCTGTTTCCAAAAGCATTCTTCGAAATAAAGCTATAGATTTTTACTTTGCAGCATGCCCATTTCCTAGTCTTTTTTAAAATTAAAACATTTGAACATTTGTTTTTTTTATTAAAAGTTTTATAAATTTATTACAATATAAACCCCCCACCCCTTCCCCCCTCCCCCCACTTCCCAGAGCTGATTACAGGGTAAAACAAAAGAATAAACAAATATAATCCAACTAACATAAACCAACTATACTATCAATCAAAACCATAAGACACTTTAACTCCTTATCAATACAAATATTAACAAATTAAGTCAAAAATAATAATATAATTAAAGCTATTAATAATTATCTAAAATCTACTCAAAAGCAAGATAATACTTTTCAATTTCATATTTCTTCTGAATATAATCAATCCATCTTCTCCAAACCATAATATATCTTTCTTGTAAATGATCCTTCAAATAGGCAGAGATCTTCGCCATATCTGCTAAATTAGACACTTTAAGTATCTATTCTTCCAAAGTAGGCAACAAATTTTTCTTCCAATATTGCCCCACCAATAATCTTGCAGCCGTTATAAGGTTCAACATCAAATTAGTTTCTTTAACATCAAAATCTACAATAATACCCAACAAAAATAATTGCGGAGTAAACTTAATCTTTTTCTTAAAAATCTTTTGAATATTCCACCAAATCTTGATCCAAAAAGCTTTAATATCTCTACAAGTCCACCAAATGTGGAAATAGGTTGCATCTAAATTTCCACATCTCCAACATTTAGGCTGTAAATTCGGATACATGCGGGACAACTTTTGGGGATCCAAATGCCATCTATAAAACATTTCAAAAAAATTTTCTCTCAAATTTTGCGCTTGAGTAAATTTTACATTTCTAACCCAAATTGTCTCCCATGTATCCAATAAAATCGGCTCTTGAATATTTTGCACCCATTTGATCATACAATCTTTAACCAACTCTGTTTCAGAATCCAATTCTATTAAAACATTATAAATTCTTTTTATATGAGCTCGACTTTGATCTTTAATCTGTTTTACCAAATTCACATTCTCTAAAGTAATTCCAACCTTTTGATCTATACTCCATCTCAATGACAATTGATTATAATAAAACCAAGAATATACAATATTATCTTGCTTCAACTCATCTAAAGGCTTTAATTGCCAATGCTGCCCAACCAAACTAAGTAATTCCTTATAAGAAATCTTATCGATTCCCCAGCCGGTACGAGGCGACGGCGATGGCGGCTACTTTGTAGCCGTCCAGCTGGGAAGGTGTCAGAACCACGGAGCGCAGCGTGTATCAGCTGGCCCGCGGCTCGGAATTCCCTTCCCGGGCAAAGGGAAGGGACAGAGAACGCAGGAGTAGAGGTAGAACCCCTGTACTCCCTCTGGATTTTTTCCCAGAGGGGGTGAATGGAGTGTTCCCTCGGAGCTCCTGCTGATCTCCGCCTCCCAGCTGTTTTTGCTTCCTAGGAAGCAAAAGAAACCGCCGCTTCTATCTCCGTGCCTATAGCGTATTGGTGAGTAGTTTTTTTATTATAACGGACAGAGTGGTTTAAAGGATTTTTTTATATAGTTTAGGTTTTTAATTTCTTTTTATTTAGCTTTGATTATTTCTCTTTTGTTCTTTTTATTAGTTTGGACAAAGGAATTAAGATGGCGCTTTGAAAGTGTCGGAGTTTTTTTTTCCTTGCCTTTTGTTCCATTTTTTTTTCCTTTAAGGACCGGATTTTGCTTTTGCTTTTGCTATTGAATTCCTTTTTTTGATTTTTTTTTTTGGTTTTTTCTCTCTGGATTTCTAAGGATTATAGTGCTTTTGCTGTCTCTTTTAAAAGAAGAAAAGAACTTTTTTCTCTCTCTCTCCCCCTCCTTTCTTTTTTCTTGGGGGAAAGGGAAGTGAGAACTGGGTTATTTAAAATGGCTTCAAAGAGACAGCCGCCTTCCATAACATCTAAGGTGGTTTCTTCTCCTATAACCTCTACTGCACAACCACAACAACAATCTAAACATGCACCACCAGCTCAGCCACCACCCTCCCCTCCTTTGCCAGGATTTTCAGCACAAGAGGCTAGAGGCATAATGGGAGATGCTGTAGCTCAATTGAGAGAGGAAATGAAGCAATTTGCTATACAGATTAAATCAGACATTAAATCTGACTTTAAAGAAGAGATAAGTGGGATAAAGGATCAAATGGAAGATAACAACAACATTTTGCGACAAGATATACTTGCAGCAGTCTCAGGCCTGGCTACGGTGGTGGTGAAGCTGGATGCAAGACTGGAGGAAGTCGAAGATAAAGTTGATTCTTTTGATGATAAAATCCAAGATGTGGAAAGGAAGGTGGAGACTTCACAAGAAGATATTTTGATGTTTCAGTATAGACAGATGGAGTACGCCTTGAGGATCAGAGGCCTCAAGGAAGATATGAATCAAGATTTGATGGAGGTGGTCCTTACTGATTTAGCTGTGGTTCTGAATATGGATAAAGGAGAATTGCGCAGAGAAGTCGAAAAAATTTATAGACTTAATTCTTGGATTGCTAAGCAGAAGAATTTGCCTAGAGATGTGGTGATTTATTTTACAAAGAAGTCTCTGCGTAATGAGATTATACAAGCCTTTTATAATAAAAGATTCCAGATTGCTGCCCAAGATGTCATCATCTTAAAGGAAATCCCATCAAAAATTTTAAGAAGCAGGAAAGATTTTGCCTTCCTAGCTAATGAGCTTAAAGCTAGATTGATGCCATTTAGATGGGAAATTCCGATGGGTATTGTTTTGAGCCATGCGGGGACACGTTACAGATTGAACACGGCTGATAAAGCTAGAGAGTTTTATAATACGGTCCTGGGTGCAGGCTCAATTCTACCTATTCAGAAATCCTTGAGTGGCAAAGAGGTGGATCAGCCATCTGAGGCATTAGGTTTGGTTTCTGCTGGGATGCTGCAAGCTGAATGGCAACGCCAAACAGAGGTTAAAGAGCAGAGAATGACTCGTGCAGCTTATAGACGTAAAGAGAAGGAGCAACGTAAGAAAGAGGCTAAAGAAACTTCTACTGAAACTACATCATCGCCGGTGGGAGGAGCAAGACCCAAGAGTTATGCAACACATGCAGCAATGGCAGATCTTGAAGGTGTCTTCTCCAGGCTGCGGACCAAGAGTGATGGCAAAGTTTTTGACCTGGAATGTTAATGGATTGAATTCTCCTCAGAAAAGGAAAAAAATCTTTTATTATTTGAAGCAACACAACAATGATGTTATTTGCCTACAGGAAACTCATATTTTACTTAAGGATCAGAAATATTTAGTTAATGCTCGTTTGGGATCTCACTTTGTATCTTCTGCTCCTGGGAAAAAGGGTGGAGTTGTTATTTATGTTAAACAAAATCTACCAGCTTGTCTGGTCGAATCAGATCCCCAGGGAAGATATGTGATGATTGAACTTGGTTTATATGGTAAGAAAGTACTTATAGTGGGTCTCTATGCACCAAATCAGCAACAGGAACAATTTTATAAGTTGTTACATCAAAAAATAACATTGCTGGACTATAGATCTGTGGTATTAATGGGTGATTGGAATGGTGTCCTAGATATACAAAGGGATAAGAAAGGTTCTTCTCCTTTTTTTAAACAAGCAA